AAGGAAATTTTTATTGGAATATAAATTGAAACATTTAAATTAGTGACATTTAACGAGGCTTTTGAGGAGGCAAAACGCTGAGCAAAAAAAAAAAAATCATTTTTAAACCTCAAAACCGAGGGTTGGGATAATGAAAAAAATGGGAACTTTTAACCCCTCCATTTCTATTTTTTCCCCTCCTTAAACTAAACACGCTTCCCATAAATATTCAATAATCCAGATTTATAACAAACAGATTCCCAAAACTGGGGGGGGGGGAAATTATTTTATCCTTAGCCCCTAAATTAGGGGGAAATGTGGAGTTTTGTGGTGAAATCACATTTTTATGATTTTATGTTATTTAACAAAATTCTCACATTTCTGAGAGCAAAATGGAGAGAGGATTTTCCCCCCGGCGCCAGCAAATGAGGGGTTAAAAAAAGATTATTGTACGGGAATTCCTTCTGGAAAATTCCAAAATTCCCCAGAGGGAGAGGGGGGTGGGAATTGCAGCTGGGGATCCTCCACAACCAGCCTGGGGTCGGATAAAAAACAGAAATTATCTGGGTGCCTGAAATCAGAAATATTCCCAAAAATCGAGATATTCCCAAGTGGTGAGTTTGGTCAGATAAAAACCAGAAACTGGGATTATTTGTCTGCTTGAAATGAGAAATATTCCCAAAATTAGGAATATTCCCAAATGGAAAATTTGGTCAGCTATAAACCAGAAACTGGGATTGTTTGGCTGCTTGAAGTCAGAAATATTCCCAAAAATTGAGATATTCCCAAATGGAGAGTTTGGTCAGATAAAAACCAGGAACTGGGATTATTTGGCTGCCTAAAATCAGAAATATTCCCACAATTAGAAATATTCCCAAATGGAGAGTTTGGTCAGATAAAAACCATTAATTGTGTTTATCTGGGTGCCTGAAATCGGAAATATTCCCAAAAATCGAGATATTCCCAAGTAGAGAGTTTGGTCATTTAAAAACTAGAAACTGTGTTTATTTGGCTGCCTGAAATCAGAAATATTCCCAAAATTAGGAATATTCCCAAGTGGAGAGTTTGGTCAAGTGAAAACCAGGAACTGGGATTATTTGTCTGCTTGAAATGAGAAATATTCCCAAAATTAAAAATATTCCCATGTGGAAAATTTGGTCAGATAAAACCCAAAAACTGTGTTTATTTGGCTGCTTGAAATCCTAAATATTCCCAAAATTAGGAATATTCCCAAGTGGGGAGTTGGGTCAGATAAAAAACAGAAACTGGGATTATTTGTCTGCTTGAAATGAGAAATATTCCCAAAATTAAAAATATTCCCAAGTGGAGAGTTTGGTCAGATAAAACCCAAAAACTGTGTTTATTTGGCTGCTTGAAATCCTAAATATTCCCAAAATTAAGAATTTTCCCAACTGGAGGAAGCCTCAAGGTGCCTTTTTGTGGGAATTCACCCACTGGGATTC